AAATCCAGATATAAAAACTTCTGTTTCTCCTTTAGTATAAAGTTTTGATTTTTTCCATCATAAGTTTATTGAACAATGTGATTACTTTACAAACACCTAGCATAGTACTTCACTCAGAGAACAGATGTCTTATTCCCTGTTACTCTGACTAGCATGCAAGAGCAGAGCTGGTGGAACAGCTTTGAGTCAGAAGACCTGATGTCAGGGCCCCGGTTGCAGGAACTCAGACAAATCACTAACCTACTACTTCTCAGCCTTGTCAACGGTCTCAGGAGCAACATCAACACTTTCTCTGAGACTTGAGAAGCAGATGATGTGGTCATTAACTGGCTGAAGCAACGAAAGAATTAAGTATTAAATTCCAACTCACTGGCTTTGCAACTCTTAGCCAATGATACTTATTTTACCTTTAAAAACAGTGATTAAACTTGGGCAATAGCACTTCTAATTGTATTCAGGTAGAGAGTGAAAGATGTAATAATGCCTTTGACTGAACGACTTAGAGGATTGTTTAGGTTTAATTATGGGTTCATCTCTCTAAGAAAGTAATAACTATAATTATTGAAATGCTAAATTAATAAGAAATAAGCTTTATATTTCTCATTCTGATGTTTGAAAAACAAGAATCTAACCAAAACTGGGGTCAGATCTCAGCCCCTTACTGAATGATGTACAAATATTATAATCCTATTTGAAAAATGAGGGTAATAATTGCCTTGAAAGGGCCTTTATGAGAGTCAAGATAATATATATAAAATGCTTAGCACAGTGCCTTTTAGTGTTATATAAAACCTATTTAGGAACTTTAGGGGAGGTAACAGCAGTAAACAAGTGGAAGTATTGAATCAGTCTTTATTTTGGACTTCTGTGAACTTTGAGTTAGGCTGTGATCACATGTTCCATCCAACTTAGCAGTACTCAAGTTTGGTCATGTAAGGTTAGGAAAATATATAAATAGCCAGTCCAAACAGAAAAATTCCACATCTCAAGTCAACCATATTTTCTACTTAGGTAGAGAAAAATAATGATCAAGTTTTTGACAAAGAATAAGAAAGCGGGACACTCAGGAATTGGGGGGCCCAACCAAGTTCATCTGTTGTCTGCATCTTTCTGTGTCCTGGAAGCATTTTCTACAGCAATACCTCGACTTCCGTGTGGGGTCATCCAGGGGATCAGGGTCTGACAAGCCAGGCCAGGCCCCCCTGCAGCTACCCTAGTGCTGTTCCACCGGCCTCTCCAGCTGCCGCTGCCCCGCCGTGCTAGAGATGCTGCAGGGGGTAGAGCAGCGCCAGCACACCCCTGTGGCGGCTGTTTAAAAAACACAATTTTAAATTTTAAAAAAGTTGAACAAGATGTGGAAAGGATCAGGATTCAAGGTCTATTTCTGAATTTTGGTACATAGAATACACTATTATGCAGTTAATAAATTATGTTGACAGATTCTTACAATAGGGAAATGCTTATTTTTTTAGATCAGGAAAGTATATAGTCAAGATTTTGTTAGAAATGTGTAGGAATTTACCAAAGGGGGTGGATTTGGGGGTGTTTTTCCTTTTACTCTAGCATATGTTTTTCAGTATTTCATAATTTTAAAAATACTTAAATTTTTTTTTAAAGTATGCCTGTTACCTCGACTGTAACCTCTTTAGGAAAGCCTTTCTGGTTACTGAAGATTCATTTATGTCTTTGTAACTAAAACTGTTAAAGGTTTCTCTTCAAGTGAAGAAGATTGCTTTATTTATTTTTTTAAGATTTATGTATTTATTAGAGAGAGAGAGAGGTGGTATGTGCATGCAAGCTGGGGGAAGGGCAGAGAGAGAGAGAGAGAGAGAGAGAGAGAGAAGTAGACCCCCTGCTGAGTGCAGAGCCTGATGCGGGGCTCCATCTCACCACCCTGAGATCATGATCTGAGCCAGAAGCAGGAGTTGGAGGCTTAAATGAGTGAGCCACAGGCAGTCCTCTGCTTAATTTAAATGAGGTAGTTCTTAATGTTTTTCTGTGATCCTTGATACACTACAGAGTTACATACTGAGTTGGGTTTTTTCTTCTTTTGTATTTCCAATCCTTAGGTTCAAAGGACATTAGAAGTACTTTTTATATTTAGAAACATTCATCCTAACCATTGTTTTCTAACTGTCAAGAAAATTATAGTGTACATTTCCAAAGATGTTTATCACCAAACATTCAACAATGTGATTTTGGGAGACATGTAAAGTGAGCAGAAAAGAATGAATTACTTGTTATTCATCATTATTTACAGATGGAAATTCATTGCTTTCTGTTTTTTTCTTAACAATAGTCATAAAACAAACGCTTTCCATGTATTTTGCTCTCTTGATCTGCAGTGAGGTTTTTGAGATCCTAAACTCCATATATTAAATTTGCCTGGAATTGTCCCCTGGAAAATGAGAAGTTACGTGTCTGAAAATTGAAAAGGCACAAATCCTGACTAAAAAGTTGATTTGAGGATCTCATTTTCCTTATTTTTCCATCTCTTGGAAAGAATGCTCACATGACCTATGAAGAATAGAGATTTGATATATTTTTAGGCTTATTTACTCTGTAAATGTCTTAATTTATGTGATGAAGTTTATTTTATTAGGACAAAGATTTTTCGGTCTTTTCTGTAGGAAGATGGAAAGAAAGAAAAATATTAGTTGGCATATCGTTACTTTGGCATTCAACCAGTTTTCATAGTAATTTTTACCAAGAAAGTCTTTGCCTGGATTTTTATTATTTTAGTAGTGCAGTAATAAAGCTCATCTTCAAGTTATTTCCCTCATATCTTGGTTTCTTATAGCTTCTCCCTTTATATCCTATCAGTAAATTATAAATCATTAAGCATATTACTAGGGTACATTATTCCATCATACTGACATGTAAAAGTACAGGCATTTATTAAGAGGGTGTGAAATAGATTTAATCTTGAGGGCTACATAATCCAGGCAAGTTGAAGCAACTGTTAAGTAGTCTTAGTTTTAACCTTCCATTAGTTCTCAGTAATCTTAAGGTATCACCACCCTTTCATTCCAGTTTGAAACACCTTGCAGATCCCTGACAGTAAAAAGACATAATGAATGCTTTAATGACTCAGACTAGAAGCCATTACATTGACATTCATTTTCAAATTATTTAATATGATATACAGTTATTCATTTAATAAGCTATTATTTGGAAGCTTCCATAGATAGAAAAAGGAGAGATATATTCTTTGAATAAATTTGTTACTTTCTAATTTGCTTCTCCTGAGCTAAATAGATCATGTAAATACAAGCAACTAAGAGAGTAAAAGGTTATTTTCTATGTATAATGTAAATTAAAATTTAAAAGAAGCTTTATTTCTTGTGACTAAGTGGCAGCCTTAAAACTAAAAAACAGTAAGTATCAATATCCTTAACTCTGATGGTATTTTAAAAAAACATACTAAAAAAATGTTCTCTCATCCCAAAGATAGGACAGATTTTTATGGGGAAACAAGTCACAAAGTTTATCTTTGGCAACTCTTGATTTTCTAGGTTTCCAAGTAAATTTGAGCTTATCTGAATTAAGCATCACCAGTTTTATGATGAAGCATCTGTACTTCTCAGTAGGTCCCTGCCCCTCTAGTCCCTCTCTTTCTAAGAGACCTAGCAAAGTTACCTAAGTTCTACAGTACATGAATTCAGCCTGACTAGACAGAGTTCCAAAGTACAAAAATATTTCTGCTTGCATATATCATCAGGATACAGGTATACGCTGACATGAAACTCATGAGTTAGTTAGAAAATAGCACAACTGTTGATTCTCAAAAATGCTGTGAAATAGCTAAGGAACTTTTGGAGAAGAAGAACAAGGAATTAAGTATCAGTGTTGCAAAAAATCATGTCATACTAGAATGATGGAATGACTCCAGTAGTCTAGAAATGTAATAAGATAAACTTAATAGGGATAAATATTATGTACTGTGTTTAAGTTTTTAAAAATGTGTATGGTAACTCATAACCCAAGGACAGCTGAGTAAGCAATGGTGGCTACAGAATTTCTCTTTAAGTTGGCTTTGTTGAGGAGTAGCTGTCTGGTGGAAGGGATTAAAGGAATTACCCTGAAGCCTCATTTAGGAAGCAAAGTTTAGTGGCTTAAAACAATAACCATTTTTTTTTAGCTCTTATTTCTGTAGGTTAGCAGTCTGGGCCTCTATTGAGTGTATGGTTTTTCTAGGCTCATTCTGTGTCTATTGTCAGCTGCTGGTTGGTTGAAGGCTAGATGAAATAGGATGGCTTCAGGTGGACCAACTTGCCCATGTGGCCTTCTCCCAGGCTTACACATGGCAGCTGGGAGAAGTTCTGAGAGGAATAGGAGGGAGAGCACTAAATGCTGTGGAGACCCAGACTCAGAATTGACATGATGTCACTTCCACCAAATTCTGCTGATTAAAGCTAGGCTGAAAATAGGCACTGTCCCTTGATCAGAAGAGCTGCAAAGTTACATTGCAAAGAGGGTGGGTGGACACAGGGAGGCTATAATTGCTCCCTTCTTTTAAATAGTCTACCACACCAAGCACACTGCTTTAATATGTTGTAGGTCAATAAAAATAGTAGTTTTGGCAAGATGCATTTATTCATATTCCACATATTGAGAAACCACAGCTCCCACTACAAGCTGGCTCTTCATTTAATTTGGACAATGAATTTAATAGCTGAAAAGCAGGTTTTGTGCTTGTACTGAACTATTTTTCAAGGTAGTTTAGGGGGTAGTTACAGGTTATAAAGTTAAATGTTTTCTCTGTTTCAAAATAAGGTAAAAGCATCCAAAATAGATAACTGAGTATGTCCAAAAGAAAATATAAATCTGCTTGACGTTGTAGATATTTATGTTCCTACAAACAGTTAATGATCTTTTAAAAAACCTGTGTGAAGAGTAGATTACTATAAATGCAAATTTGGGAATTTTGCTGTAAAAAACTAACAATTTTAAACATAGATGTTTGAAATTTTAAGTTTGAACATCTGTCTTATTTCCAGGAGCTCTGCCAGTGCCGACCTGGAGAAGGAAATTGTTCCTGCTGTAAAGAGTGTATGTTGTGTCTTGGGACCCTTTGGGATGAGTGCTGTGATTGTGTTGGTAAGTTGACATGCAGGAAAGTTCATGTTTATCACAGAATCTTTAACTTTAAGAGACTTTAAAGAATGTAAGTATATTTTATGTGTATAGACTATACATAAAATATATAGTCAGTATGTATACTGTCTATGTGTATAGTCAGTATAGATGTAGTAGGTGTATAGAACATTATTGGATTTGCTTGGATTGAATGATATTTACACAGATGTGCAGTTTTATTTTTTATTTTATTTTATTTTATTTTTTTATTTGTTTGACAGAGAGAGATCACAAGCAGGCAGAGAGGCAGGCAGAGAGAGAGAGGAGGAAGCAGGTTCTCTGCTGAGCAGAGAGCCCGATGCGGGGCTCGATCCCAGGACCCTGAGATCATGACCCTATCCAAAGGCAGCGGCTTAACCCGCTGAGCCACCCAGGCGCCCCTGCAGTTTTATTTTTATTGAAAAGATCTGGAAGGAAATTCAAAGAGCTTATTCTTGAGGAACAATGGAAATTTTTTACTTTTCATTTTTAACATTTCATACTGTTGAACTTTTAATAAGAAGCATGTGTTATAGTTCCAAATAGAGATAAATACTTCATATATTAAAATAGATTCTCTTCCTTTTATATAAGATTTCACTATGGGTTGCCTGGGTATCTCAATCATTTAAGCTCCCAGCTCTTGATTTTTCTTGGGTCTTGGTTGTTGGGTGGTGACATTGAGCCCTTATTGGGCTCCATGCTGGGCTAGGGCCTGCTTGGGATTCTCTCCATCCCTCTCCTTCTGCCCCTCCCTGCCACTTAAAAAAAAAAAAAAAAAAAAAAAGACTTAACTGAGAGATGCTTGAGAAATTAAAAGCTTTTTTTTTTTTTTTTTTTGAGAAACTGAAAGTTATTTTTAAGTGCTTGCTGAGGAATAGTGTCCAAGATGTATTAAATAAAAAGTGGAGCACACCTGGGTGGCTCTGTTGGTTGGGCTTGATTTCTGCTGGGGTCATGATCTCAGAGTGATGGGATCAAGGCCCCCTCTGGGCTCTGCTCTCAGCGGGGAGTCTGTTTGAGATTCTGTCTCCCTCTCCCTTTGCCCCTCCCTGCACTTGCACACTTTCTCTCAGTCTCTCTAAAATAAATAAATAAATATTTTTTTAAAAAAACCAAGGTGTGCAAAAGTGCGTTTATGGAATCACTTGTGTTTTCGAAAGAAAATTTACATGTGTAGACTGCTGATGGGAGAAACACTCATCATCCTCTCTCCAACCAGTTAACCCTTTTTCATCCTCTAAAACCACAGTTCGAATGTCCCCTTGTCTCCCAAACATCTTTTTGACTGAGATAGGATCCTCTACATTATTCAGATTGTCTGCTTCTGTTAGGTCATGTGCTACATGCTACTATACTTGTTTTTAACATGTTTCTTTCAACAGACTATAAACTCCTTAAGGACAGAATGGTATCATTTTGATCTTTTATAATTAATTACTATGTTTATCAAAGTGGGATATATGTAAATACGTGAAGTTCATGCACGTTGTACTAAAACAAGCCCCTGGCATGCTTGTTCCCAACCCTTTGATCCTGGGTCAGAGACAACAACTTCCAGGTCTTTGGTATGGTCTTACTTCCCTAATTTTAAATAGTATCCCTATACTGTTCTCTTGATTCTTTGATTTTAGGAACTATTCATTGCCTTTTTTTATGGCAGATGATGACTTAGCTTTATCTCTTATCTTCCCAATATAGTTATCACTACTTCTAGTTAAATCAGTAATTACTTTAGCAATCCATTGAATAAATTAGTGTTGCATATTAGTTTGATGCATGATGTATAAACACTAGTTTATTAAATGAATAATACTATTATGTCTTTTTATATTGGACTACGCTTCCTGAAAGCTTTCTTAATCTTCTAGACTTTGTATTAGAGTTTAAAATTTTGGCTTTCATTTTTTATTTCTTTTTTTTTTTTTTGCTGCATATTTTTTTAATTTAATTTTATTATTTTTTAATTTTTTTATAAACATATATTTTTATCCCCAGGGGTACAGGTCTGTAAATCGCCAGGTTTACACACTTCACAGCACTCACCTTAGCACATACCCTCCCCAATGTCCATAACCCCACCCCCCTCTCCCAACCCCCCTCCCCCCAGCAACCCTCAGTTTGTTTTGTGACATTACGAGTCACTTATGGATTGGTTCACCAATCCCATCTTGTTTCATTTATTCTTCTCCTACCCCCTGAACCCCCCATGTTGCATCCCCACTTCCTCATATCAGGGAGATCATATGATAGTTGTCTTTCTCCAATTGACTTATTTAGCTAAGCATGATACCCTCTAGTTCCATCCTCGTTGTTGCAAATGGCAAGATTTCATTTCTTTTGATGGCTGCATAGTATTCCATTGTGTATATATACCACATCTTTATCCATTCATCTGTTGATGGACATCTAGGTTCTTTCCATAGTTTGGCTATTGTAGACATTGCTGCTATAAACATTCGGGTGCACGTGCCCCTTCGGATCACTACGTTTGTATCTTTAGGGTAAATACCCAGTAGTGCAATTGCTGGGTCATAGGGTAGCTCTATTTTCAACATTTTGAGGAACCTTCATGCTGTTTTCCAGAGTGGTTCCACCAGCTTGCATTCCCACCAACAGTGTAGGAGGGTTCCCCTTTCTCCACATCCTCATTTTTAATTTCTAAGAGCCCTTCTCTGATTGTCCTTTTTGGGGAGCATCCTGTTCCTTATATTTTTTAAATTTTATTTATTTATTTATTTATATATTTAACAGAGAGAGAGAGAGCACAAGCAGGGGAATCAGCAGTCAGAGAAGAGGGAGAAAAGGCTCCTCGCTGAGCAGGGAGCCCAATGTGGGGCTCGATCCCAGGACCCTGGGATCATGACCTGACCCAAAGGCAGACACTTAATGATTGAGCCATCCAGGCGCTCCAACAGCTTTTTTTTTTTTTTTTTAAAGATTTATTTTTTTAAGTGATCTCCACTCCAACATGGGGCTTGAACTCAACCTGGAGATCGAGAGTCACGTGATCCACAAACTAACCCAACCCCATTGACCTCTTCTTCTGGGAAAAGACTTACATAGTTCTGTTGAGAAAGAACCACTTATCTATGGTCATATCTCTACAATTCTAGAAGCAACTGGTGTGCTTCTAGGCTAGTTTCCATTTAAAAATATATATGTATATATATTATTTACCTCTGAGGATTTAATCACAGGTTTTAAACTTTGAGGGAGTTCATAATGTAACTTTACCTCTCATTTAAAATTCAGTTAATCTTTCTGCTCTCTAGGATAAAATTTCCACATTCCAGTTCTTTCTGGAGAGCAGTATTCTTTTTCTTGTAAACCATTCTCTTCCACACTAGGTTCTTGTAATGTCCTCTTTAAATCTGTGGCTGATTCTCCCTTCTAAATTGAAAGACTGCCCATACTTTTCACATACTTTTCATGGGTGGGGCACAAGTCCTGAGAGGACCTAAATTAGCCTTCCCTTCCGGTCTCATTTGGTGGACTTTTAGCACATACTTGTCTAGCAGGCTCTCCTCCAGCAACCTTGCCTAAGAGAATTCGTTTCTCTTTTCTGATTTTCTCTTAAGGTAGCTCATTTTTATACTTACTGTTAAACATATTACTCAAATCCTGTAGTTTTTGGATTCTGGATCCCTACCTACACCTTTTTTGGTTTTATTTTAGTGTTCGCTTTGTTTTTACTTTTCCTGAAGTACACAGAGTACACAAAGTACTCTTTTGTGTACTTAAATGTAAACAAGTACATTTTTCTTGAATGTACACAAAGAGAGTACAATGAACTTGTACACTTTTTTTGAATGTATGCAAAGAAAGTACAATGAACTTCTGGGTCCCTACTCCCCAGCTTCAGCAGCCATACTTCTTTCATCCATTCAATCATCTGTCTGTGAATCTGCACAATCCCTCTGCCACTTTCTTTTGTTGGGGTATTATAAAGTAATTTCAGTACATCTCCAAAGTCCCTTAGTTATACATCTTAAAAAAGAGAGAGAGTAAATTTTCTTACACATACAATGTTATGACCACACCTAAAATACGTAGCAGTACTTCCTTAACATTTAATATCTAGTCGATAGATTGCCCTAATCAACTAAATGTTGTTTATAGTTGTTTTAATCAAATCAAGGTCTCACAGTCCACTTACTGTATTTAGACTGTTAGGTTTCTTTTGTTTCTTTTATTCTAAAACACTTCTTCTTTCCCTCACCACCTTTTAAGGTTCTATAGGCTTGTTAAAGAAACTAGTGAATTGTGATGAAAAATATATCGCTTTCTGGATTTGGCTGATTGCTTCCCATATTTAACTTGTTACTTTGTCCTCTCTATTTCCTATACATTGGAGATTAGATCTTAAAATTGATCAGATTCAGATTCAGTTTTTGGGAGATGGGTACATAAATTACACACAATGTCTGGTTGTCCTCCTTTTAAAGTTGATTGCTGGGTTCAAATGGTCAAAGTCTGATCCTTTTGTACTAAGTTTTCCATCAGTCTTTCACCTGGTAGTTTCACCCTTCATTGATGATCTTTGCCATTATCAATTTCATTAAATAATGATCTACTATTATCTTTCCTTCTGCATTTATTAGCTAGAATTATTCTGTATAGAAGAACTTTCTTACATATACTAGAGCCCTTTGGCTACCCTAAAATAAAGGATATGTAAACAAAAAGTAAGATAAGTAATTCTCTTTGTTCAGTTTCAGAGTATTGACTTCATGCCCTAGCAAATTCCAGCAAATTCAAATTTTGCTTTGCTTTTTGGTAGGTTGGGTGTGGATGAGGTGATGGTATTTTAAGTATCATTGTAAACTCATGTTTTGGGGGGTTTTTTAATATATTTTTTAAGATTTTATTTCTTTATTTGACAGACAGAGATCACAAGTAGGCAGAGAGGAAGGCAGAGAGAGAGGGAAACAGGCTCCCTGCGGAGCAGAGAGCCTGACGTGGGACTCTATCCCAGGACC